TATATATATATATATATATATATATATATATATATATATATATATATAAGGTTCAAAGTACGTATATCGATTACGATTCAAACAGAAACGTATCGTTGTCCGAGAATCAACAACGTCACCCTCTCTTCTACATTCGTGACGGAAGAATGTCAGGAACAAAAATTGAATTTAGTAGCAACAGTAGTAACTGTTTATACAGTGACGAACGCAAGTATTGACAGAGCTAATTTTTAGCTCTAGATAGTACAATAACTTATCCGTTTGACAATTTATTATGGTTTTCAGACTAATTTCACTTTTAGCTATAACGCGACACAAAAGTACGTATGTATTTCGAACCGTTGTTCGTTTCTTATTTCGCGCGTTTTACTTAAAATCTAATATTCGCTTAAATCGCGAATTCGTTAGTAATTTATACCTAGAGATCGCGCGCGCGCGATATTTGCTGGTTTCGAGTTAAATAGATTTGTATAGCAATATTAAAAATTCGAGCTGCATACCGTTCTAAAATATAATATTATCGAATTAATCTGTCTATTATTTTACGCGCAGACGGATATACATAATACATACGTGGATATAATAATTGTAATTTGTTAACGAAATTAAGTCGGTGTACATACGTATATCCATTTCTTAGATTCGTACGAAACTATCTTGACTTTATCACATTTAGCTCGGTGACTACCTGTTGCGTGACGAAATATTTTTGCACCGAGATACTAAGCAAAACTCGAGAAATCAAACGTATCGCGTCGCGGTGAGAAGGCTCGCGAAGAATTATATCACGAAACGAATTATTGCATCGAAGGCTCTGCTAAAATTCTAAACAACGTGTTTCGTTTCGAACGAATTTTTCCCTACGATAACGTATCAAATAATAAATGATTTTCAAGTAAATTTTGGCGACGCGCGTCAATTTGTCACGCTCTCGGCGCATATCGGGCAAAAACTTTCTTTCTTACCTAGAGATCAGTAAAACATTTTTAGTCAAGAGGTTTGTAATTAGATTTCCTTTTCTGACGAACGGCGCTTTCCTCAGCCACGCGATGCTATTGTAGAAATGATAGTAAGAGTCCATCGTTGCTTTCTCCGTTTCCAAATTCACAGTCTGGTAGTTTTCATTGACTGGAAGCCAAGTTGTCGAGTTCGTGGAAAATCCTGGAAAAATTATGAGATTACAAATAATAAGAAATTAGTCGAATCAACGTGTTCTAGAAATCGCAACACCGCCGCAACATTTCGAACAACGCGCGATCCGAAATGTACATTTGGATTTCATCGCGATGAAAATCTACGAAGGTAGGTCGCGTCACTACACACCTTCTCTTATTCGTGTCGCAAGCGCGACCCAGAGAAAAGCCTTTAAGATACCTTTAAGAGCTTACCGGCGGAAGTGGTATTGTCCCACTGGAACGGGGATCTAGCAGGGTCCCTGGACATCGTTTCGTATTCATCTTCACCGGCGTTGCATCCCTGCGGATCCTTGGTGTCCTTCCACGAAATCCAAGTGTCCACCATGCCGATTTCATCGCCGTTGTACGTCACGCTGACACCGGGCAATAAAAGCGTCATCAAGGTGACCACTCGAGCTCGTTCAGGCCCAAATCGAGTCGCCAATCTCGATTGATCGTGATTTCCTGCCTGCGCAAAGAATTTTTACGAGCCGCGAGACTTTCGTCGGTAATAAGATAACGGTAGGAACGAATTCAAACAAAATGAATGTTTGCGCTATCGAGAAGCTTGTTTTCCCTTTAGTACTTACCACCCAATTAGCTGTGCTGCCGCGTGGCATGTTTTTCATCCATCTGTCGATCAGATCCTTGTAATCCGCCACCGTTGAATTTATATTCAGATCCGTGATCATTAAAAAGTTGAAGGGAAAACTGGCACCGCTGGGGAAATACTTCATCGTGTTCGGTATATCCGCGTACACCTCCATCATCATAGCTCTGTCTCCTTTGTACTCCTTCAGGACCTTGCTCCAGCCCTTCACGATCTCGTAGGTGCGGGGTTGGTTCTGGGTATATTTCTTGATCGTGTAACCGTTCTTATTTGGATTATCGGTAGTTCCTGACAACGGTTCGTCCAAAAATCTAGAATCCTCGCAAAGAAAAGGTATCGCGTCCACCCTGAAGCCATCTACGCCCTTGTTTAACCAAAACCTGAGTACGTCCTGTAAAACGATAGTCAGCCGAAATTCAAAGCTGAGCTCGGTTATTCGATCATATTTTATTGTTACTTCGAAAACTCTCGAATCACGGATTTGGTGTTCAGAGCGGCTTTCTGTTTTCTTGGCTCTTGGAGCGTTCAAAAATTTGTTAAACCGCAGCAAAGTATCGATCTTTGATCATACGTATGCCCGTAGTTCATTGTGTAATTAAATAATTATATTAATTGTTGCTCGTATGAAAACATTATCGTATAAAAGTACGATTCGGAAGCACCTATAGATATATTTTTGTTAAACGAACAGCGAATTCTTCGCGCGCGACGACATACATACGTGCGGAATACATATCGTTAAAATTCATCGATACACATACGTATAATCATTTTTCTTCGACGATCTTTTAATTACTTCATGGCTGAAATTTTAATTTAATTTCCCAATCGGACAGGTGTAAATATGGATGCTTCCCAAGTTTTTTTAACGAATTTGCTGGATAGAAAAATGGCGGAGGAAACGATGAAACAGCGAACCATCGTACATCTCGGAGTTTCATACGTCTTCTCATTTAGAAACGATTCAAAGGACACTTTCTAATTCGTAGTCTAGCACCCGGCAACGCACTATACATATACATGCATTGGTTATTCCACCGTTGCAAGATGATATTATACAACGAATATTCGACAGCATGTTATATTCATGATTCTGTGAAAAAAAAAGTTGTGTTTCCCAGAAGAATTGCCAAGCAGCCTAGAATTCGAAAAACTTTCCACACAACTTTTCTTGTCGCGGAAATTGCTGAACGCCGACAACCAGCGATTCACACCGTAACGTAAATGCTGCTCGATAAGAAAACACGGTCGTATCGAAGTCACGTTGAAACAGCAACCAACTCGCGGAGACAATTACTATTTTTACAATCGATTGTTATCTTTCGTTTCGGCTCAAAGTAACGTATTATTAAGTGTTATCGACAGAATATCACGATGACGATATAAAAACACACCCCCGCAAGTATAAAATTGTTTTTATACTTGAGAAAATGTTTAACTTTGTCCTAAAATATCACACGAAATATGAGCTTTTTTGCTTTTCTCGAAACGTTTTTTTCAACTTAAACTTAATCCTTTCGTATATCATGTTCACCTTCTTGCATTCCAAATTCATCATTTTATTTATTATTAACGTTTTGGCAAGTTTTATTCATCCTTGTGCAAAACAAATTTCTTTTCTTTGCAAAGGGGATAATTTCATTTGGAAATAATTCAATACGATCTAAACGATATAGTATGAAAATTTTCACTCGACAAAGTTAAATACGAGCGAGAAAAATATCAATGTTTACATTTTTCAAATTAATGTTCGACGTCTCGTCGAAAACGTTAATCGGCTGGTATGTATGTATGTATGTTATGTATGTATGTATGTATGTATGTATGTATGTATGTATGTATGTATGTATGTATGTATGTATATATGTATATACCGGGTCGCGTCGGATATCTCGTCCAGAGTTGCGAAGGAGTTAAAAAGTTAAAAGGTGTCCGAATACCGTTGCGAGATACCGTGTATCGACGATGGATGGGCAAAGTATTTTTCCTCTTGTCGTTCACCGTTAATTACACGTTCTTCGGTAATATTATCGGGAAAACTGGCAATTGGCGCGCATCTATGTACGCAGATATACGGTGCATGCCGATGAGCGATATTTCACAAAAAAAAAGAAAAAAATTGCAGGCTTCTTTTGCCCGAGGAAAAAGCGACAGGCCAACCGTGTTGGATTTCCACACTTCACCTATGCGAGCATCGTTTCAGTAGCCAGGGGAACGAAAAGGGCTCCGATGCGGCCTAATGTGTACATACATACGTATGCACGGTATGTATGTAAAGACAGGATTTATTTCCAGCCTGGTAACGATCCCACGAAATTGATCCAGCATCTCCGTGCAAGCATCTTCGCAAGAGCGAGAATAGATGAAAAGAAAATGTAATAGCGTGACTCGGATCGCGTTCAACGAGTAATTTATCGTATAAAATTGCGAAATTGAACGCATTCTTAAGGACAGCTTCTCAGAAAACTTGGCGAACACCTTTCACATGTCAGATAACAATTATCTCGACAAAAATTTGCTCTATCGATGCGCATTCATTGTTTCGATATTCAGTGGAATCTGTTGGCATTGATTCAAGTATCGTGATAAAATAGTTGGAGATATCGCGAATTTTGCGGGGATATCGGCACCGGTCGAAAATCAGATTCGATGTTGTTGCTGTTTTCGATGATAACCCGATGCCAAGGGGTGGCGTTACTTGCCAAAATGATACGATGCGATGATATCTCTTCACCACTTAATTTTCGGTTTGCGGAACCTCGAGTTAAATTAGGGTTTCATTGCTAGGTCGAAGGTAATTCGATTCTCGAGAAAATTCTCTATGCCGATGATGCGGCCTGATTGGAAGTACTAATAAACTCACGCAACGAAGCAGAATTTTCAGTATACATTTGTATACATATAGATACGTATGTGTGTACGGTTTGTGACGAAAATATTCGGACATTTTTTAAAACGGTACAACTTTTCGAAAAAGTTTTTCGACCAAACGGCTCGGCGAAAATTAAATCCGAAAATTAAATCCGAAAATGAAATACGTCGCGAAGCTTAGAGAAACTGTATACAACATCGAACAGGACCGTCGTAGTACCCACCGCCGATCACCGCGTTCAACCGTTTTTCCTACTCTTCCCCATCTATTGCTTACCATAGAATCGTCTGCTTTAACCCGCGAATTTTTCGATTATTTATATATATTCTGACTGCACATACCTGGATTTCGTTCATCAAATCTTCGTTATTGTAGTTGAGATCCGGTTGTTCCGGTGCAAATTGATGCAAATAATACGACTGTCGTTCCGGTCGCCACCTCCACGCGGATCCACCGAACATACTCACCTGCGTGCAAAGAATAATTTCAAAGTTCTCGCAAAACTAAAAAACGAGTAACGTTTTGACCTTTTGCACTCGAAATCATTTCACTTTAAATAAAAAATAGTTTTACTTCCAGTTAGGTGCATCTTGTGCATACGAAATTGTGTCTTCTTATTTAAAGAAAAACTTTGGTAACGATACATGTACCAATAATATTCAGAATCACTATCGCTCCCAGTGCAAAGAATGAACGATTCGTTTGCAGGAAGTTCGTTTAAACTGACCCAATTATTTGGTGGCGCCATGGTGCCATTTTCAAGTTTTCGGCCTTCGTGCCAGACGTAGAAATCGCTGTACGGTTTTATATTCTGCAAACTTTTTTGGAACCATTCGTGTTTATCCGATGTATGATTAGGCACAAAGTCCATGATCATTTTCAAGGATTTGCTGTGAGCGGCATCCAGCAAATCCTCAAAATCCTTCATTGTTCCAAAAATGGGATCGATGTTGCGGTAGTCGGAAATATCGTAGCCGAAATCGACCATTGGACTAGGATAAATAGGTGACACCCAGAAAGCATCGACGTGCGATTCGACCAGATGGTCTAACTTGCTTATAATACCTGAGAACAACAAAATCATTTATCGATGTGCACAAAATTGTTCGACAAAAAAATAAGCGAAGCCGATTCTCCGAGCGTTAATTCCTGTCCAAATTCCTCTATATTTTTGTTCAACGTTCGAAGGAGATCGACGCGCATTCGTACCAACTAAATGACACAATGTTTGAAACTGTTGCACAGAAACCAAAAGCAAAAGGAAAAATATCGAAAAACACCGCAGATACATAATATGTACATATTTCCAAAATAAAATATCGAACTATTCGCGCGCGCGTATCAGTCTTCCGATAAGATATCATTACAAGCAGCGTGTTCTTCATTTTTCTTATGATTTTCCACCGAATTTATCCATGTTTTTTGCCTTTTGTTTTTCGTTCTAAACTGTTACACGATCAAAGTATTTTACGATATTGGTAAATTTTTTAATACGTTAATTCGTGTCAACGATAAATAGAAATTGTGCGTATCGAATATTAAACCGATATATTGCTGTTCATTCTTTAAACGATTCTCTATTTAAAACGCTATATTTCAATAATCCTCGCTTTGGTCGCACATTATTTCAATATGCCGTGGATCAGAGTTTACGTTGTCGCATTCAAGCGGCCGCGCGTCGACGTCAATTTATATTTGCTGGGTTTCCTGCGTTCCCGCTTTACTTTTTTCCTCGGTTAACGTCGCACGCTTTGGCTCTTCTGTTAATTGCATCCGCAACACCACACCGACTACATCGTTTGTGTCATCGTACCAAATTACATAATAAATCACGTAAACAAATCAAAATGTGTCGAGACGAGAATAAGAGGAAACGTGATTACAACATACAACTTGACAAACAGTTATATTTAGCTTTTTCGGTGTAATTACGCATTACAGCCGATTCGAATTCTGAATGGTGCGCCCCAGTGCTCGAGAAAACAATACATATTACGCCTGAGACGTTTTACGATCCGAATGTAACGACCGCTTAAGCAGTGACAAATTCTTTTGTTTTTTTCTTCTTTTTTTTATTTTAAGTAATTTCCACGTAATTGCAGAATTTAAGCCTAATTATTTCACTTTATTTTTCAGTGCTGGTGCTAATTAGTTGTAATAATTCAGTCGATGATTCAAAATACGTGATTAGATACACACATAATTGTCATCCGATATATTTGACTCGTATATTCTTGATCTGTTCACCTTAACATTTGGCCATGCAAAACGAATTAAGATTTGAAAGAATTCGAAATATTAATGGAGCAATTAATCAGTGATTAAATAGTTTTTAATCACAGTGAACTATCGTTGTTTCGTGAAAGTGTGCATGCTCAACGGTCATAGCGTTAAATAAATAGCGAGCAATTCGAGCGTGCTACGGGTAAATGCGATTAATTCCATTTTTTTTTCTCGGTTATAAAATCTTCTGGTTCGAATCGAACTTTTAGGTTTCGAAGTGAACATAGCTTAGCGTGCGAGAATTGCACGTATGTATGTCCGTGATTGGACGCACAGCTGTTACGACTCTATCGGTGTTCCTTAGATCTTTTCTTTGCAACCGAGAGGAGGCCAAACGTCGTAGACGGCAAAAATATGACCCGGAAAAACGTGGAACGCTTACCTTTCAAATCGCCCACGCCATCCCCGTCGCTGTCTTTAAAGCTCCTGGGATAAATCTGATAAAGCGACATTGTCCGCCACCATTCTTGGCCGCCTTGATGGCAACCAGCAACCGCGTACAATGACATCAGACAAAATAATATCGTTGCCTTCATGTTTCCTAAACGCATAAAGCACACGCGTTTGCACACAGATTCGACCGGCTAATTAAATGCGTGATCTTAGATTTATAGATGTGACATGATGTACCATGTTACGGATACTATGTTATACGATGCTAAAACCTGCCATAATGCGCCATAGCGCCTAGCTGGTGTCGAGACGAATTCAACGCGACCAATTACAATTTCACCACGAACCTTGACATAACGCTAAGAAAATTTCAGCAACAGAAAGAACAATATAACCGTGTATCGGCAGAAAAACGCGAAGAAAGATATAGTTCTTAACGAGAACTTTTAGTTCTCAAAATCTTAGTTAACGAATACTTCAAACGACGTATATTCGCGTGTGCGCAATGCGCATCAGCGATCGTAGATGAACTCGATGTGTCCTTTATTACCGTGTGTACGCAGCCTAATTAGCCACCGGCACCAACGTTATAACAACGTTAACTACAGCGAAATCTAATGACATCGGCCCCCTTTTATACCCGCATTGTGTAATTCAAGCGGAGTAGGGTCTAAAGTTTCTTACATATACCGACAGAGGTGACGAATGTTTCGTCCGGCATCCGGCACCCGGCACCCGGCACCCGGCACCCGGCAGAGATGACCAGTAATTTGATATTGTATGTACAAAGAAACCAGCAGATCATGTGAAGGAATTGAAGAATTTGATTAGATCGTCAACAAATTTCTGTACTTTGTAAATATTTTCTGATCTATTTACGTATGCCGTTCTACTAATTTAAAAGAAACAAAATGTTTATTTTACCAATAAAAACTAAATAAAATAAAAAATTATTTGAAATATACCGAACATTGTAATATAATAGTACAATAATTTATTACCGGTCGAATTAGCCACTTAATCGTAAGATAAATACGGTTAAAAGATGATAAGTTTTGCTTTCATTCGATAGTACATATGTAGGCGTTATCATCGTGTATTCCATTCAAGATCCTTTAAGATTAGCGTTTTACGATTAACGATTAATTGGATGGATTCGGTATCTGACAAGTTGCACCATGGAAAAATTTCGACGATTTCATTTTTACCTATCTTCCATGTTAATCTCGTATCATAATCTATCGTGTGGTCACCTTAATCGTTCAACTAACGAACATCAAAATCGGGCATCTCCGAAAATACATATTCTTCGAAAAACGTGTGAAATTCTCTATTTCGTGTATCCCGTAATGTAAACGATGCGTTTCGTTCTCTCCAACAAGATATATTGGTTACTTTCAAGCAAAAGGAAATGTAGAATACTCGATTAGACTGTTTCTGGTAATGTTATGTAATAATATGCGGTAATATAGTTTACTGTTACATATTGTTGGACAACTTTTTAAATATTATCAAGGTTTAAGTATTATTAAGTTTACGATGAATAACTTTTAAAACGATAGCTTTTGTCCATTGTTTGTTTATAAAGAACTCGACCATATCGATTTATCGACCGAAAGATCTCACGACAAAGATGTATGTACATACATATTTGCACCGCGTAACCAATTGTCAAAGAAAATTAGATTTCGACACGGATTCGCTTCTGAACCGTCCATGTGTATTGTTGCGCGATCGCTTTGAGGAAATCAAAGGAAGTTCCTTCATTTTCGCCTTAACATCAACATCTGGAAGCAGTTCTCGCCAATTTTCGAACCGTAAGCTATGTACGTATATCGCTACGAATCAGCTAAATTTGCAACTTTGTAACTTTCAGCAACTAAATGTAGAGAAATGTTCAGAAAACAACAACCGGTGTAACTCCCCGTTCGCCATGACTCTCGAGGGGCCACTTAAATCTTTAACAACGCGATACCGTTGTACGTACGATTCCTCGTATTCCACAGGGGTGCAATTATGACGAAGCTCTCAATTTTGTTCCCGTACTTTTCTGCTTGTACTATACGTATTTATACGTATACTCGCATTCGGTGAGGAGTTATCGATTGCTTATGTCGGTCGGTATGAAAAATATCGTTACAATATTTCCGTTTCTAATGTGTTAAAAATGTTGGAATTCGAATACATCGAACACGCAAAGACAAAGTTAACAACAAAGGAAATCTGTCTTTCATCAATCTGCCGACGTTACGGGCCTTTTATTCTCGAGAATAAAATTGTATACCAGGCTGTAAAGTAATCTGGAAAGTTCTGTGATACTTATGAAACTCTCTGATTCAATGGACACGGATTAATTAACGACGCATACTAATTTGACGCGTTCGAAATTTCGAAAAAGAATAGCGAAAAGATCGTAACGTTGATCGTAACCAATTCATAATGTAAACGAATAACTTGGTTCAAAGAATGCACGGGATAGTCATGATTTACAGTTAATTCTAACACAACGTGTACACATATATTGCGATATTGTGATATTGCTCTATTATTCTCCCTAATTTTAAATAACTTTGAACGACCTCCGACGCCGCGTTTTTCTTACACGTATTTCCGTATACTAATAATAGAAAAATAAATAGTTTCGATTTGGTGTGGCAATACGTGTAACCGCTATCCGCATAGACGATCAAGAAGATAAAAATACATATAACGCTACAAAATCGACCACCGAAGAGATGCTACCGCAAGATTTCTACGCGAAAGCGCGACACGATATCCCGCGCAATATGGAAAAGTGGAGAGCAGGAAGATAAAACCTACTGGCGGGATTCGCTACACAAAAAACGTTTTAAGAGAATTTCAGAGAGTCGAGTCGAGCCGAGTCGAAATGCTCTCTCTATTTCCGATGAATTCTCAGCAGCTGGCAATACCTTTGGCACATACGTATGTAATATTTCCAAAACACTCGTCCGTAATTCTATTTTCTTATTATGAAACTATACATATACATACGTATAACGAAATGTGGTAAGTAACTCTTATTAAATACGCTCGAGAGCAAAAATTGAAACACTAATTTTTCACCGACAAATTGTCGTTGCCATTAAACAACCGTAACTCCTTAACACAAAAGCTATCGCAAAATTATGACGTTTTTTCTTCGTCTTCTTTCGTTATCAATTAAAGCTTGAAATCTTTACTTTACGATATAATATTGAAATTGTTAATATCTTGCATCCCCGTGACTGCGCATAGTATCCTAAATTCGAGGGTATGTTCCTGATGTATCGAAAAAATGTGAAAAGTTTACCGTTCGCAACATCGAGAAATTCGGACATTCTTCTTTAATTTGCGAATCGAATCAAGTCGCTACATCGAATCTGATAGCGTAGTCCGACCGGGAACATATGGCACGCCAAACCCCTGGACTCCGCGCCTTAACCTAGCACATCGATCAACAATCTTAACAATCTTCTCCTCGATCACAATTTTCAGATCGAACTCCGGTGACGGGGATAGTACAGCGACGAGTGTTGACGCATTTCTTCGGCTTGCTCCTAATGTGCATACATACACATTACTCTCCTCGGGTGTAAACGTAAACGAATCGACGTTTCCGAACAACGGTTTCATTCTAATGTAATCGACGTTACTAGCCTGCGACATAACCAGGCTTCGCCCTCGGCTCTGCCTGCGGGAATCGGCGGATGTCGCGGGGCTTGCCTGAATGTACCCGTTTACATTGTAGGACTACATATTGAACAGCACCGGTTCGAGCAAACCGTCCAGGTTCAACAAAGTCTCTTGGCAGTTGACAGCTGAACTCTACCTATCTACATATATACATATATATACATACATACATACATACATACACATACATACATGTACATATACATATAGTTGCCGCCTGAAATAAGCTTATCGCTTGTAATTCTAGCAGATTTGAACCCTCTTCAACGGTTATAGTAGCATCGAAACCAGCCAAATCTATCGTGGCTCACAACCTGCCGGAGAGTGGTTCGTGAAATTATTCGAACACCTTTTAGAACGAATGTAGTAACTTTTTCGAAATTCAACCAAACGAATCGAACCATTTATTAATTAATCGTTAGATCAACTAGTTTACTGGACAATGAGTAAAATATTTTTTGCAAATATTGCAACTGTGTTCATTGTGGAATCTCGTTGGTGGAAATTACTTTGAAATTACAAATTACATTAGCGATATTGAAATCATCGTGGTCATATATATAGCAGCCCGCGTTTCATTATTTTGCACTGGATATCGTATTTCTGCGTTTACTTTGTAAAGTATTGTATAATAAATACGAGTAGGAGCAAGTTGCATCAACAAAAGTGGATTTTTGAGAATAATTGACCTTAATCTGGAATACAGTTGATGCTACACGAACGTATGTATGTATGTATATCCTGACAGTATGACCGTTTTAAAATAGCAACACTTAGGTTGATTACTTGTTCAGTGTGGTACACGTAACAGAGTGCAAACGTGGCTAAATAAAACTTCTAATGCACCCTATATTGACTACAAACAGTTCTAGAATCTCATTTTCTTGATGGCGCACGACTACTATTATATGTATATATATATATACATATTACCCAAAGTATGCATTAAGTAACTGCGGTATAATTTCACAATGACGTTAGGAATTCTTTTCACATGCATATAGCAGAATTTGTCTACCGGTTTACAGTTTTCACTCGAGACGATGCGAATTTGACACGATAAAATCATTTTTTTTTATTGCAAACGTGTTTTGGGTAGGATGATTCGAAATGACTTGTACACTTGTGTGCGCTGGAAAACTTTGTTTATTCGTTCGCGCGGACTTTGTCTCTTGACGAGTCGCGGTGCAGTGACCGAGTTTTCTGTTTTCCTTCGCCGTTTGTCCTGGTAAAATTCTTGAACAACCCTGATTGGTTAACCCCACGCGTTGGGCCTTTCCAATCAGCGTTGTTCATTTTGCCCTTTTTACCGCCTGTCCCTTACGCTCTTTGCGTATTTTCGGGACGGCGTGGTAATCGGAGGTGATAATGTGCTGTACGTGACAACGTGTGGAACTTTTCCTCCGGGTCACCCGCGTCGGACCACATGGCCCTTGGGTCGCTGGGTCCGCTTCGAGTATCCTTCGGAAACTCTCCTAATTTATGACGGTCTCTGTTAGCTATTGAGGTATCTCTAAAAAAACTCTATTGCGGACATGCGCTGTCAAGGTTTGGGACTTATCATCTCAAAAATAACTTCTTCGAAGGAGAAGGACCGAAGTTCCTATTGTGCGCATGACTGGTCGCTACAGTATAAAAAAACATGCCTGATTTCTATGAAATTCATGCGAGAGACGGTTCTTAGCGAAGCATTCATTGGTCGCACATTATTTTTAACAGTTTTAAAGTGTAAAAATTCCAAACAAATATTTTCTTGGAAACTGGAGAGTGTAGGTTAAAAATATGTATGCATTAATGTTTTGTTCTCCAGAATCAGAAATTGAACCGACAACAAATAATTGGAAACCAAAAGAGCAGATCGGAATTAAAAGTTCTGTAAAGAATCGAATACAGCCCCCCCTTCGTTCAGAGACGCGGATGTGTATGTTACATGTTAAAGAAATATAATAGAAGCGTTAACAATATTTGCATTGCATTTTTATTTAAGTTCCAGTGCGTACATATATAATTACATTGTTTCAATAAATAAACTGTATATTATAGTTTTTAAAAGTATTAAATAGTAGCAGTAATACGATGGTATAATGCTTTCCATTCTTCGTTCTAATGTCTGGTTAGAACCAATGTACCGTACGGAGGCACTTTTACACTCTCGTTACAGAGAAGAGCCCTAGATTTGCGAATAGAATCGAAAATATTATTACAAAGGTTTTTAAGTATTCTGAAAATCGACTTGTCTAATTCGATAATATGTTTCCTTATCACATTAGACAAGAAGAATGATATTATCATGGTCGGTTTATGAAAAAGAGAAGCGTGCGCATATACCTACCCTTTCTTTAGACCAAAACCGGCCGATGCGTAGTACACTCTCAACTTGCACTTTGGTTTCTGGATTTCTGACAAATCCACAACCTCCGTCGAGTTTGCGACGTTCAATATCGCGTATACAGCTCCCTGCGATACGGTCTCTCTATAAAAACAGAAGAGAGTGAGAGAGAAAGAGAAAGAAAAGAATAGAATATCGTGTAAAAAGTATTGTAAGCCATATTGTAAGGAACGCGATACTGTGAGAGATTATTAGAAGTAACTTTTTCCTTACCGAAAACGTCCATCTTTTTCGTTAACAACTCATTAACAAAGTCACGAAGAACGTAATCGCTAAGGAAAAAATTACTTCGAATCACCTCGTGAATCATCTCTTTCGAAGGTTTACAACGAAGCATCGATTGTAATTTTCCTCCACGTATATGTACGTATGTAATGCGCTGTTCGAACATCGATTCAGAAATGTTTCTGAAAGAACACGAATGACCGAAGGAAATTCAATGTTACAGCGATTGCTTATGGACGATAACTAATCGTAACTAATAACAATTTTCTTCGTTTACCTAGCGATGTAGAGAACATTGTCGGTCAGCAGTTTGTCGGTTAGGTTTCCTTTCCGGACAGCCGGATTCACTTTCTTCAGAATCGCAAGGGAGTTATAGAAATTATAGAAAGAGTCTTTATCCTTCTTCTCCGATGCTAGATTCACGGTTTTGTAGTCGTCGTTAACTGGAATCCAAGTTTTCGCGTTCGTAGAAAATCCTGCACAAAAGTTGTTTTCATTTAAACCTTCAGTTTGCGGTTATGAACATTTTAACTGTATAAAAAGAAATAACTTAATAAACGTATGACAACTTCGCGTAGTAATTAATCGGTGGTGACAGACACATTTTATCGCTAGACTGTGCACACCCTTGCACAAAATCAAAATCAAAATCAAAATCAATTTCGCATCGAATGCACAGAAATTCTTATCGAAATTCTTGAATTCTTTTAATCTTTTTACCGTTTCAACTTGCATCGAACCCGCAGCAGCGTACGGATCGAATAATGTTCAACTTTTCAACGTTTCTGGCGCGCCGCGCGACGCGTTTCATACGTGGATGATAATGAAAATATTCGACCGTCTCTATATTCTATTCGTCTCTCTCAGAACCGACCTAGAAACCCTTATGGATATCCAGAGCTTACCGGCGGAAGTGGTAGCGTCCCATTGGAACGGCGATCTAACAGGATCCCTGGACGTTTTTTCGTATCCTTCCGGACCCTCGTTACATCCGTGCGGGTCTTGGGTGTTTTTATAGGAAACCCATGTATCCTCCATGCCGATCTCGTCGCCGTTGTACGTGACAGTGACACCGGGTAATATGAAAGTCATCGCAGTTATCGCTCGTGCACGATCGGGCCCCAACCGAGTCACCAACCTCGAATTATCGTGATTTCCAGCCTGTACGGAGAGTTTTTATTGTTGAGAGTTATTGATTTTTATCGATCTCCTTCTGTAATATTTACTACTCGTTAAACTAGTATTACATTCTACAACTACACGAATCAACGTCGTATTAATAATTTGATTTTGCGCTATGAAAAAAATACGTAACATAAATGTATAATAAAGATGAGACAAAACAGCCGAAGAAAAGAACAAATTAATGAATAAAATTACGAACGATCCTGAGCATCGTTCGTTATATTATCTTCATAAATTCCATTCCAAGTTTCTTACGTTCCTCGTGAAATAAGAAACAATTTGAAATAATGTTCTGTCAAGTCTTTTTTTGCACATACATATAATACTTACCACCCAATTAGGTGTAGCACCCTTTGGCATGTTGTCGATCCACCGATCAACTATGAATTTCCAATCCTTCGCCGTTGAATTGGAATTCAAATTTATGACCATTGCAAAGTTAAAGGGGTAACTGGCACCAGCATCGTAAAACTCCATCGTGTGATTTAAATCTGTGTACGCTTCGATCATCATGACTTTATCGCCCTCGTATTGAGCAAGGACCTTGCTCCATCCTCTCACTATCTCATAATTTCGAGGGTGGTCTCTGGTGTAGATTTTCACCGTATACGCAAAATTATTTGGGTCGTTGGTGAGTCCTGACAGTGGTTCGTCCGCAAACGTTTGATTCTCGCAAAGACGAGCAGCGGCGTCCACTCTAATTCCGTCTATGCCTTTATCCAACCAAAATTTGAGAATATCCTGAAAAATTGCATTACCGACCGATTATAGCGTCGACCAAAAGTATAATCTGAAACCGGTTTCAAAATGATCTCCAAGTCACGTGTCGCATGTTATTTGCAGGGAGTAACAATAGTATTCGGACATCTCTTGAAACGTAATAACCTTTTTAAAATTGTACGACATATATTTACGTATAACATATGTAACGTATGCATTGGAAGATGTAAAAATTTCAAGATTTCTCTTAGTTGTCGGTGGAGGGTCGTAGAAAACTGTGCGATTTCGACTGTTTTTAATTCGTTCACGACGTTCGAAGCTGCTTTCTCATCGTTTGGTAAACGAGTCGGCAACACTTCGAAAACGTTAACAATTCGACAAAATTGAAGTCATTTCGTACAATTTTAAAGAAGTTATCACGTTTTAAAATATTAACTTTAGAATAATAACGCGCGTCAAATTGACTCCGCGTATCGCTACGATAATAGTGACTCGATGTCAAATTGACTCCGTATCGCAAGCGGTATCGCTATTGATACGGAATCACTTTGACGTCGAGTCACCGTTATCGATACGCGGAGTCAGTTTATTCGACGTCGAGTCACCGTTACCGATACAGAGAGACAGAGAGTCAATTTGACGTCACGTTGCTACTAGAGATATTAAAACAATGGTCACCGATCGAGGATCAACGCGTTACTCGATGCAAGTGTACCTATTATAAACGAGAGGTCACTCAGTTGCCCCAGTGATTTTTCTTCTTCTTCTTCTTCTTCTTATTATTATTATCATGATTCCAATCGTACACCTACCTTCATCTCCTGTACTAAATCTTCGTTGAAGTAGTTAACATCCGGTTGCTCCTTTGTATACTGATGGTAATAATACGCGTTGCGTTCCGGTCGCCACGTCCACGCTGATCCACCGAATATACTGATCTACGCGCGAACAATACAATTCCTAAGTAAGTAAGTAAGTAATATCACACATTGACTTTTCTACCAATTTCCATCGTTACGATCCTTTTGTTTCTACTTCGTTGTCATTCTTATCATCTTTCAATGTTTATTTTGCGAATAACATCGTCGTGTTATTTTCAACTCGATAAAATCGTTAACGAAGGAAAGAAAGATATTGTTTAAAAAAGCTTCCGTTTCTTGTAATTCATGCAAAACACTTTTAATTTGTACGAAGGCCTACGTACTTACCTGTGCATCTCTATACATGCATATATGTATGTACAATCCAATCATTGGGGTACATTCGACAGCGCGGGAAAAGTATGGTTGCCGCGGAGGCAGAATGACACGATACCGATCCAATACCGATTGTTAATAATCTCTTATGGACAACGATACAGCGAGGAGAGTAACGAGGGATATCGTTCGAGTAAATTCGTTTCTACATTTCCATACACAGCGTTGAAACATAAATTCTACCCCGAACATGCGTTTTAATATCCATTCGTTGGAATTTTTCAGGCGAATCTGTATAAAATTCAGGATCATTCTTCTCGCGAAATACGTATGGAAATTACGAACGAAATGCACATATGCAAAAAGTTTCACGTAAATCGTCGAAATGAGCGTGAAACGTGGTCGAACGGCGTTCCAATAAAGTTCAACCTGACCGAAATAACGACTTCCTTCGTTTTTCTTCTGGTAAACAGTACTTTTTCCTATTCTCTTCGATTAGATATAAGAACGCGTGATTTTATAGCGACTCGTCTTTTGCACTGTCCTGCAAAATATCTTTATCAACTAAAATCTACTTTAACGTTGCACGCGTTATACAACGAACGAGTGAAGTTAACAAAGAATGATCCCCGCTATCTACCACAACGAATTTCTGTGGATACGAGGAGCATCTTTGATCGCGTAATATAAGTTCTCGGAAAGCCGAGATAATATTGTCTGGAATGTCAGCAAGAGATCAGAAGATTATGGTAGGTTGTTCATGGTAAACGATTGTGGGATTTACCCAATTGTTCGGTGGCGCCCTGGTGCCGTTTTCAAGTTTTCGGCCCTCGTGCCAGACGTAGTAATCGCTGTAGGGTTTGATATTCTTCAAACTTTTCTGAAACCATTCGTGCTGATCCGAAGTATGATTCGGTACGAAATCTATGACCACCTTCAAATTTTTGCTATGGGCGGCTTTCACCATATCCTCGAAATCTTTCATTGTACCAAAGGCGGGGAAAATGCTGCGGTAGTCGGAAATATCGTAACCAAAATCGACCATAGGGCTTGAGTAGAAGGGAGACACCCAGAAAGCGTCGATGTGCGATTCTGTCATATGGTCCAACTTGCTTATGATACCTGTAATCGGAGAAAGCGTTCGTCGAAAAGGAGGATCTAATATTCTGTCATTTCCGTGATAAATAAGCTTTGGGCTTTTTGCACTTTCAACGTCGGTTAACAAGAAATTGTTTGGCAATTTTTACACAGATTACGGCCGAATGTATAGAGTTAATGGATAATAGATGATAAGTTAATAGATAGTTAATAGATAATAGATCGACATTCTAAAGTTCCTTCGATCTTTATACTATTTTATGCTATTGCCACAATCAGTTTTCCCACACAAATGCATAAAATTCGCGATCTAATTATGAGTTTAGGTATATGTACACGTGGTATTCTGTAGAACAGTAAACGGTAGAAAATCACGTGGTCGAAGGAAGAAAAACAAAATCACAGAGAAATGTGTACGCTTACCTTTTATATCACCTAGCCCATCCCCATTGCTGTCTTTATAACTCCTGGGATAGACCTGATAGAGCGACATTGTCCGCCACCATTCGTGGCCGCTGCTGCCGACAACGGCGTGCAATGTCGTTACACAAAGTAGTAATATCGCCTTCATGTTTCCTAAACACACGAAAGAAGCGAATCAGCTAAAAGTCAACGAGTCCTTTTAAACTTTGAACTCGTATCCGTGGTTGGAAGGAACAATGCCGCGCGCATGTCACATGTTTTCACTTTCGACGCGTCGCATCGGTCACATACATATGTACGAGCGACACTAATGTTCAACTACTACATACTTCTTAAAACGTTTACTAGGATATTTAGAATACAAAGAAATTAAAATACCATCTATGTACTACGATACATTTTATCTTTATAGTTTCAGAATTTTAAGGGCTGATTTTCGGCACTTAACGCGTTAAAATTCTGATCGCTGATTCTTTATATTGGCAATGCTTGAGACAACGATCTTATACTATACGGCACGATTAAAGTATACAGTCGCGGATATACATCGGTTATGTTACGTGTGTGTCGTGCACATTGTCGCGAATGAAACAACGAACGAATGAATTTTTCAATTCTTCAATTGCTTTTTTTGTATCGTAACAGAAAGGAGTAGAGGTGAGATTATATCCTTCGCGAAAACAACAAACTCTCGCAATCTTGCATCGATGCGCACAATAATCGTGACCGTAGGTGAACTCGAAAGTGTCTATCGATTACCGTGCGTTCGCAGCCCAATTATGTAGTTCGAACTGCAACCAACACCAACGTTGTAACAACCACTTCTGTGCGAACGCTAACGATACTATCCCTTTTTATACTCGCATCGTGTTGCTGAAGCGAAATCGGGTTTGGGTTAAGCGACAATATTCTGTGACAGGTGATAAATGTGCTTCCGCAAACATAACCAGTAATTTGGTATGCGGAATAACCGACAGGCCATAAAGAAATTTCAGAATTGTTCGCTAACGAATTTCCGAACTTGTTTTCTTTTACAAACTTTGCAAACGCTGTCTCGAATTTGCACGATCAATATCATTTCTTGCATACGTATCATGCGAGTGAAATGTTTCAGATTAACAATGAAAAATGTAGAATTTATTATAATATTCTGAAATAATTCAAACATTTTGTTGGTATTAAATAACCCATTGCAGCAAGTTTATTAGTCCAAAACACGCGTGAATCATAATTATTTTTTAAATGCCACCAAATGTTTTTCAATCGGTGGTTAAAATAATGAATTTTTCGTTGCTTACACCGTAATAATTAATATTTAACCGCCGAATAAAACACAACTTCGTAAATGAATTAATGAATTAAAATATGATAACCTATATATAAACGCGTTCGGTGCCTAGCGAAACGGGAAAATAAATACATATACACACATGGAAGCTTATATTAATGACATGTACATATATTGTTTGTACTAATATCGCATTCATATTGTCAGTGTTACGATTTACGATTAAACATTCAAGTTAAGATCGGACAGTTCCAAATGTTTAAGATCAAATATTCATACCGCATACATTTATAACATATAAATAGTAGCAAGTATATTACTACTGATAGTAGTAGTAGTAGTAGTAATAGCATAAATAAGTATGTACAAGTGTCGAAATCGTCATTTGATAATACTGTTTCATTCGTTCCTTCGCTCGTTTATTTGCGCATGTTGGCTTGAATTACTTTCACAAAAATATAATTCGTCTTTTAAACTTCGCATATTATAAAATAACGTTTACCGACACGGTCTTCTGCTACAGTTACACCTGGTCATTGATATTCGGACACCTTTTAAAACGCAATAACTTTTTTTAAAACCGTAGATAAAACCTGTTTTTAATTTCAAAATGTCACGAAACGACACCAATAATGTTACAGAACTATTCTATCGAGTTTAAACTTTTCTGTTTTTATCGATCAGCTGATCGGCCGATAATTATTCACCGACCATTGCAATTAATACCTATTTTCTGTCTTTATAACTGCACTTAATATGTGCAGAAAATAATTGTAAAACCTAACGGAAACTATACATATACAGGAGATAAAAGATGAAAACTTTCCGTTCTTCTGCTTACAACAACAAACTTGTTACGATGTTCTACGTTCTATTCTCTCTACGGTAGCTTTTATCGATTTGAATAATTGTAGTTTTACCGGAACCTATGTTACGAAATATTATGAATAGTGAACTGTTGTCGAAATTAGATAAATAGAAAAATGAAAAATGAGTTTTTTAACTAACACATGAAGGAGCTTGTAAATATATATGTCCGGTGAATAGTAATTTGCTGCTTTCTTGAAAACTAAAATTGAAATCGATTGTAACGTTAATTCGAACAAAGCTACTGGAAGAAGATTTTCTTTACGTTTATCTTGCATCGACGTCCCGCGGATTATCCACTTTAAATACACATCGTATCGTTCCTTGAGTTGTCACTCGCAGCAAAATTACATTTCAAAACGTTCTCATCTCGGAAGACCTTTTCTACGTAAGATCCTCTTCATTATTCTGATATACTTGTGTAGATGGTTTTGAAATACAATATAATATCACGATGAAATAGAATACAATGGTGTTACGAACAAATTTTATCTTTTCACTCCATGGGAAGGAATTCGAGTCTATAACACCATAGCATTCCGATAACTTGCCAATCGTTCGTGATAACGGATTTCGATGCATTTAGTATTACTTTCCCGTTTTCGCTTCACAAATAATTTATTAATTCGACTAAACGTCGTTCTTCTCTACGCGTCCACGACTACGCAAACCGTACTCTACACGCCATCGCTATGGTTATGTCAAGGTTAACAAACGGATGACGAACGATTCTCCTAGCGTAAACGAAATCATTAAAAAAGGAACTTTAGTCGTTCGTATTCTTTCAAGTAGCAAGCTTAAAGCATACATTTCTATAGTAGATGTATGGTAAGTATGAAAATGAAATTGTATAAAACGAATATACAAATTGGTTACAAATTAGTTTGCTAATAGCTTAATAAATATTATAAGTTTGATTTTAAACAATTGCTTGCGCGTTGCAGGTTATGCAATACGTATATATACAGGGTGTTCCACAATTACTTTAACAGCCGAAAATGAGGGATAGCTGAGGTCATTTGAAGTAACTTTTTCCTTTGCGAAAATGCAATCCGCGGCCTTGTTTACGAGTTATTAACGAAAAACACTGGCCAATGAGAGGTGACGGTGCGAGAGAGAGAGAGAGAGAGAGAGGGAGAGAGAGAGAGTCCGCGAGAGAGTCCGCAGCACGAGGCTTTGACAGATGGTCGGGACGGACTCGAGCCGCGTTCGAAGTATTGAACAAATCACGAAGCGAGAACTTTCCGGATTATTTTCTACTACGTAACAGTGATGTTTTTAAGAAAAACGCTGTTCACCTTTACTTTAGAGCGTCTGAAGAATATTTACTAATTTTTCGGACCCGAAATAATAAGTAATTTAACCGTGACGGCTGTTTTAATTTTCTAGTGTGCATGACACCTCGTGTGTAACATGTGAAATTTTTAGGCAAGGTGTACAGTGAAGATTAACAAAGTACGTAAATGATATTTTAATTTAAATAATTCCGTGTCCGAACACAGTTCGACGAATGATTCGCAAAGCTAATTTAATAAATAATAATCGTATTAAAGAACGTAAGGGATATGTTTGTTATAGAAATATGAAGAATATTATCAATAAGAAACTCACCCATTTTCGCAAAGGAAAAAGTTACTTCAAATGACCTCAGCTACCCCTCATTTTCGGCTGTTAAAGTAATTGTGGAACACCCTGTATATTGTATATATTTTGTGCGTGCGCGCGCGCGTGTGTGTGTATTATATGTAGAATGCACGATGTAGATACATATTGTAACAGCAACGATTAATCTCGTGTTCATCGACCGATGAAACCGCCTCTACGAGAGGACGATATTTATTTGCAATTTAAAATTACACGGGGCACGGTCGCTCTTCTCCAACTATTTTTAACAAAGTCATCGGTGCAAAAAGGGCTCCGTGCAGTCTTACCGTATGAAAGTTAAATACCTTAAAGCTCAAAAGCTCCGAGGTAAATATAGACGAAGCCTGAGGTCCCGCAGCATTCTTTATGAATTTCATAAATGAACAACGGCAAAACCTGCTGGCGCTTGAATTAATAAGCAGAACTAACGATTCAACATCGTGGACGCCGCTTACTAAACTAGCATACCTTTAGACCTTTATTTCGGTTTATCCGAGTAAGAGTAACATATATTGTTGTTGTTGTTGTTGTTGTTGTTGTTGTTGTTGTTGTTGTTATTATTATTATTATTATTATTATTATTATTGTTGTTGTTATTATTATTATTATGTTATATTCTCGTATACGTACATTGTATGTGTATTGGCATATTATCGATACATATTTGACATAAGTCAGTTGCATATTTTGATATATTTGATCGAAAACTAAAACTAGTAAACTTCCGCGGTCTAATAAAATTAGCGGTTTGTAAAATTTCATAATGAATCGTTTTATGACCAAACAGCCGAGAAACTGTTACGAAGCTTCCAAAAGCGTCGCGAAATACTTTGTAGGTTCTTCAGAATTTTAGAACAACTTTCTGGACTTTCGTGGTTTCGAATGAAATTTCGTATTTTAACTTTTCTCTCTCATCGAGTCAACTATCTGATTACAATTTATATTACTCGAGTTCCCGAGTAGACCGCGTTGGGACGTAGCCGTGATCGAACATTCACCGACACGGAACCTGTGCGGCTTAGCAAGGTCTCTGAAAAGCTGACCATTGTCATCGTATGGACGACACTCGTAGCTTGCATTTAGCCAGCCGGTGGTGATCTATGGTTTCGCATACGATTTGCGAATCGTAAACTGGATTACAATTGCTCGACAGAAATCGAGTACCCAGTTTATGTCAGTATCGACGGTAAACGAAGGGAACGCGAACCGCTGTTGTCCTCAAAGATTTATCGTTCTACATAGGAAGTCGTATTAATAGACTGCACGCGTTTATGCGCACAAATTATCGTATGCATATCTCTTCCAACTTGCTGTGCGCAATAAAGATTTTTAACATTGTCTTATTTTATCGATACAGTCCTGGCCAAATATGTATTATGTATGTATGTATACGTGGACGCCTTTTAAAACGGAATAACTTCTCTAAAATTAGATGAAATCGGCTGGATTTTTTTTAAACGATAGGAGGCGCTAACTTGCTAGACAATGCAAACGTTGCAATCGAGTGGAATGACAAAAGAATAATTGTACAATAACGATTTTCAATTTTGTTTTCTCCGAACATAAGTGTTCCTTTTTTTGTTCGAGATGCATTTATTTATACAATACCGTTAAATAATAGATTTAGGTAGCTATTAATGCAAGAATGAAAAACAAAACGTTTCGAAAAGGACATTATTAGAAAAATTAATGCTTATTAAGCATACAACGTTGTTCCAGGTTTAATAAGGGGACAAGATAATGTTGTCGGTCTGCTTCTTAATTATTCGGAGTAGTTAACGAAGTTTCTTGAACTTCATTGAAAAATCAGTGTTTACAAATACTAATAATTATTTCACCGTGGATCGCTACACACATTCAAAGTCCGCCTTTAATGAGATTCCTGCGAGCTCGCACTTCGAAAAATTCAATTTTCCCAGCTGCGTGGAAATTTAATAATGAATTCATTCTCATAGAATGCTGGAACCTCAAAGGCACGTCCCTCGCGTTCTTTAGTATCGACAATGACATTTGCAGACGGGTGATAGAAATTTAATGAGAATTATGCATACGAAAAAGATTGAACTAGCTTTCAGCAGAATAGAATGATGAATCTTGTAATTACATTAACTGGAAACTATGGAGAAACAAATTGATTCTTATAATTCTTCAAACGGAAATTACAAATACATTCGTGTACCACATTCATGTTATAATACAATTGTACAAGATTGGTCTGGACGATGTCCAAAGTTTGATACACAAACGCATTTCTAACAGTTTTCCATGGAACGGATAAAAGTGTAAACGACGGACTAAAAATAATATTGTGTCTACCGTTGTAATTAATTACGTGACTCGATCTTCAGGTTTTACGTAAATACGTAAAGAAACTCGTCGTATACTTAAGAAAATTGCAACGTCGAAGGATCGGATACACACACAGCTCTATTTATTTAGACCATCTCAAATAGAACCATAATCTGCAATTAACGATATCTCACTTAATTGTATTTCCGTTGCACGCGTGTGGTAGGTGACCGTCGTGAATTCATGCAAATTTTATGCGATTCGAATATATCACACC